ACAAGTATCTTCAAAAATAATGATAACAATCATAGGGGTGATACTGAAATTGTCTTATCTTTTTTACAGTTTCATACATGGAAGATTACCTTATGAGAACATCAAGCCAGATCCCATTTTGAGAAGTCTTTTACTTAGCCTACCTCTTCGCAAGATCGTAAGTTACATCTAAATCTAATCATACTTTACATCTTTGGTTTTTTCTCATATAGATCATATTGTTTCAGATCTTCACGAACGCTGATAAGTTACACGCAGCTAGAGCCCTAGAGAAGCTAGGGTTAGAAGACTGTTTCCAAGGAATAGTTTGCTTCGAATCATTGAATACTACTAACCGCGACAACAATAATGATTATAACAATGAGATCTTCGACATAATCGGATACTTATCCGATCATAAAAATCCAGTTTCCGCTTTACCTAAGACACCAATTGTCTGTAAACCATCTGAAAACGCCATAGTAAAGGCTCTTGAAATCGCTGACATCGATCCTCAAAGAACCGTGAGTGTCGATTTTCGCATTCTCCTAGACACATTTGCTTACTTTGATCCTCAAAAACATAAAATTTAAACCGTTTTTTTTCTTCTTGTAGTTGTTCTTTGATGATAGTGTTCGAAACACTCAAGCTGGTAAACACATTGGTCTGAGTACTGTTCTGGTGAGTTAAAAAATAAACGTTTATTTCCTCTTTGTATTCCATCCTGGAGATTTAACGTCGGAGAAATATCCGGTGGTGAGTTTTGGACATCGAAATTAATGGAGTGATGATTGGTGATAGGTCGGGACTTCACAGAAAGTGAAGTTTGCAGATTATGCTTTAGAGAACATTCATAATTTGAAGGAGGCTTTACCGGAGCTCTGGGAATCCGAGGCTAAGCCTGAAAAAGTTAGATATTCCGGCAAACTCGCCGTTGAAACTCCGGTGATAGCCTAATTAACCAGTATTGGTTATTTAAAAAGATTCCGGCAGAGAATTGATTGTTCTTTTTTATGATTTTTTTGTTTAATAAACTCTGCTTTGTAGTTTTTGTTAATGGCCTTTTCCTCCTATTATGAGTTCATTAATAAATGATAGTTTCATATAAAATCCTAAATTAAAAATCTAAATCAGATTATCCGACTACAAACTATTACATAAAACTATGGAAGTACAGTATATTGATACACAAAATCAATACTATTACATATGATCCCAAATGTTAAGGGTAAATAAACGTAAAGCATATAAAAGCGTTTATCGTATATATATATATTTGTGTTAGTGATAGAATTGTGGTGGAGCTATATTTTTTATTGCAGCATGAAATCAAATGTTTTATGTTATGATAAGATTTGTTATTTGTAGTGAGGAAAAAATTAAAATATTTTAAAGTTTTTAACATACAAGAACAAAAACAAATTAGATGTTAAAAAAAAAAAAATCGTTTTAAGAATTTGACCATAGCCCAAATTAAAAAAATCAGGCCCGTTTCAAGATGCATTTGAAAATAAATAAATAAAAAATTAAAAGTCAAATAATTCAAAAGATAAGGTGACGTGGCGAAAATCAAAGAATCTGCGATAAGGTGTGGTCTCTCTCACTCACTCTCTCGTCATCGTCTGAGCTTACACCAAACTCCAGTCAATGGCGATCATGACGACGACGACATTCTTCCATCCTCTACTTCCTTCTAACACTTACAAATCCGGAGCTGTATCTTCTTCCTTTGTCTCACTTCCTCGTTCCCAGTTCCCTTCTTCTTCTTCCTCTCTCCAATTTCGCTCGCTTGTTTCCGATTCGTCGTCGATTTGTGGTCGGAATAAGTTCACCGGAAAATTCAGAAGAGTATCCGTTACCGTCTCCGCCGCCGCAACTACTGAACCTCTCACCGTTCTCGTTACCGGTGCCGGTGGAAGAACAGGTTCTCTCTCAGTCTCAGATCGTTTCGATTCTTTTTATATAATGTGGTATTGTGCAATTCCATTATACGACTGTTCGAGTTTGTGTTTATCCTCTGCATCTACAAATTGACAGGGCAAATTGTGTACAAGAAATTGAAAGAGAGGTCTGATCAGTTTGTGGCAAGAGGTTTAGTGAGAACAAAAGAGAGCAAAGAGAAGATCGGTGGAGAAGACGAAGTATTCATTGGAGATATTCGAGATTCTGAAGCTATTGCTCCTGCTGTTCAAGGAATTGATGCTTTGGTCATTCTCACGAGTGCAGTGCCTCAAATGAAACCTGGTTTTGATCCTAGCAAAGGAGGAAGACCTGAGTTCTACTTTGAAGATGGAGCTTATCCTGAACAGGTGAAAAAACAACTACTAGTGTGTGTTCTTGTGGGTTTTGGTTTTGATCATTTTTTCTTTCTTTTTGTAGGTTGATTGGATTGGTCAGAAGAATCAAATAGATGCTGGTTTGTATTCATCTCCTTGAGTTTCTTTTTGTTTATATATACCCAAAGTGCTGATGATTTCGTCTTTCTTGAAACAGCCAAGGCTGCAGGAGTTAAGCAGATTGTTTTGGTCGGGTCGATGGGAGGAACGAACATTAATCACCCCTTGAATAGTATTGGCAATGCCAACATTCTGGTGATTCTTCTTTCTTTGTTTTCTTCAACAGAGAGATGAGTTTCAGAACAATCTTTTAAGCAATTCTGCTGCTTGTATGTATTTTCAATTTTGTAGGTTTGGAAGAGGAAGGCTGAGCAGTACTTGGCTGATTCCGGTATTCCGTACACCATCATTAGGTAATCTTGTAGTTTACTTGCATCTGGCTGCAAATTGCAATGACGGAATCTCGTCTTACAATTTTCCATTCCTACTGGATTCAGGGCGGGTGGTCTGCAGGACAAGGAAGGTGGCATCCGAGAATTACTTGTAGGAAAAGATGACGAGCTTCTCGAGACAGAAACAAGAACAATCGCAAGGGCTGATGTTGCAGAAGTCTGTGTTCAGGTGGGTTAAAGGGCATCATAAACTGAATAATCCATCAACCGTTGCCATATTTTTTTTAACTAGTTTTGCCTCTCATAATCCATGGTGTGTCCTATTTGAGCAGGCGTTGCAGCTTGAGGAAGCAAAATTCAAAGCACTTGACCTGGCCTCAAAGCCCGAGGGAACAGGGACCCCAACAAAGGATTTCAAGGCGCTTTTCTCTCAAGTAACCACTCGGTTCTGATCTTCTGTTTAGTGTTTTTTCTCTCTTTGTCCTTGTAGCAGAGTCATAGAATTAGACACTGAAAGAGATGAGTTCTTTTGTGTGTCTGAACCGGCTCATTCTAATTCTCAAGGGGTCTTGCCCTAAATTCTAAAGTATCATCAAAAGCTTTTGAAATATCTTTAGAGATCATTAAAACTCGCAAATTAGCATTACGGGACCACAACTAATAACTAGGAGCTCAGATTCCAAGCTTAAGAGTTTTCCAGAAATAGTATAGCAAATATATAACGGAGTAAAACATCTTATTTCAATATAGCATTGGTCCTCGAGTGTGCATTGGAGAAGTAAAAAAACCTCCTTTCAAAGCCATAGTTTCTCTAAGCTTCCTCTTATACGTGTTACAATCTAGACAAGTTAACTCTGCTAGCAATATACAGACTCTCTGATCAATGATCATCATCTCTAGCTACATGAATAACGTTAGGAGAACCTAGCTGAGAATGTTATATAAATCGGGACTTACATCAGTATTATCTTTAAGAAATTCTTCGGACGAAGCACTCTCTTCTTTTATCTGCTGCAAAAGAGATGATACCGTCTTAGTACAATATCTTGGAAGAATTAGAGAGCATTTCTAAGGAAATGTGAATGAATCCGAGCTATACCTGTGATTCTGTGTGAAATAAAAAGGAGATGATCTCTCGGATTGTCGGCATTACCAATCAAGCCTTGGAATCTGGTTTCCAAACAGAAAGAGCCATGACGGTTCTTCCCTTCCAGCCTTGCAAGAGCCACCGATTATCTTGATCAATCACAAAATCCTTATGGTAGAACGTGTGGACCTTATGCAAAGATGTCTTCATGATGTTTGGGTCAAATGGAACTTGCACCAACCCTGACCTCATAGCTCTGACCTGCCACTGCTTGTATGTCTCAGGCCTCTCCACTCTTTCCCAACCTTCGCACGCAATCACATTCAATGCCTCTCTCCCAAAGACCTCCGTCTCAAGGAACATCCTCTCTTCGTCTTCCCGTGGCACAATTGTCTCAAGCATGTCGAAAATCGAGGAGAAATGAAAGAGAGCCTCGCGAAACCGTGTCACGAAGAACGGGGCATTGTATGCACCATTCACAATGCCAAAGATGAAAAGATCGGGATTGATCTTCCTTATCAAACTGAGAACAGCGTCTCTACAACTTTCTACTTTGACCGACTCGTCGTCCAAGTTCTCAGCCCGGTACAGGCAATTAACAATAATAATCTCATCCCTGTCGATATCGAGATCTTCAAGTTGAATGGCATCCCACTTCTTAGCAATGGCTTTATACTCGAATGGCACCCCAAACTGTTTGGCATAAGCTGCTAACCTTTGACCAGTTTCTTCAACCCGCTGCGCCGGACGAAACCCGGGCTGTGGAAACTCAATCCCAGTGATCCGAAGCTTAGGTGATCCATATATGGAAAACCTGTGAATAAGAGTTGGCCATTGGAAACCATAGAGTATACCAAAATCAATGACATGAACCCGTGGAGAATTCCCAACAAGATCGCGTATGGTCTTGTTGGTTATGAAATAAGAGAGCTTCCTGAAAGGGCAACACGCGAGGAAAAGCTGGTGAGCCTTGAGAACGGCTGCAGCGGACCTCGGTTTACTAACAATCCCTTTGTAAATCTGGCTTCCAGTACCGGCTAACCGTGCCTCAAGACCAATAGCAAAACAATGAGCCAATCTCTGGTTCCCATCACCAAACGGCGTAGAATGCTGTCTAATCTGTTTCAACAACTGACCCGCACACCTACTATCATCTGCTGCAACAGCTTGAGCACAATGTATCAATAAACTTCTCAAATCCACAACTTCTTTTTTCCCATTTTGCCT